TTTTTGTAGAAAAGTTCTCATGTAGTAAAGGCTGGCTTTAAATGCTTTTTTCTTAAAATGTAAAAGTATTTATTTTGTGTGTGTAAGTATTTGCCTGCATGTATGTATGTATGTATGTATGGGAACCACATGCATACCTAGTGCTTATGCTGAGGCTAGAAGAGGGTGGAGAATCCATCCCCTGGAACTGGAGTTACAGACTGTGAGACATGGTATGGGTGCTGGGAACTGAGCCAGCCCACTTCTGCAAGAGCAACAAATGCTCTTAACTACTGAGCTATCTCTCCAGCCCCTGAACTCATTCTTTGTCATTGAGGATGATTCTGAACTGATGGATCTTCCTGTCCCATTTGGGGTTGTAGACGTTTACCACTGCCTAGTTTTATGCAGTGCTGTGAATCAAACACAGGACTTTATGCATGCCAGACAAGCTCTCTGCCAATTGAGCTACTGTGTTAACACTGTGAGTTCCCAACTGGTCACAGTAATTCTTGTTTTAATTCTGTAGTATTGATCCCTCTTCACCATAATTATCTCTTGAGTCTGTCTGCCAATCCAATACTGTACCTAATTTTTTAAGCCTGGATCTGGGTTCTACCACACAACATAACGCACAAACACATACACACACACACAACACACATCCTACTTTTTGGGAGACAGAGGCAGGTGAATGGCTTGCCATGAGTTCGACACCAGATTCCAGGACAGCCAGAGCTACACAAAGAAACCCTGTCTCATAAATTCTGTAATGCATCCATAGCGTTGGTGCTTGCCCCTTTGAAAGATATACTTTCATTTATTTCTGTGGTGTCAGGGATTGAACCTAGGACTATGGTAGGCAGGCGTTAACAATTTTCTTAAATGCTTTTTAGTTTGACCAGGTGTGTTAGCTTTTAGTTCCAGTACTTGGGAGGCAGAAATAGGCATGTCTATGTGGTGAGTTGGAGGTTAGCCTGGTCTACATAGCAAGTTCCAGGACAGCCAAATTGACACAAAGAAACCTTGTCTCAAAAAACCAAACCCACACAGGTCTTGAACTTGAGATCCTCCTGCCTTAGCTACCCCAGTCACTGCCACCATTATAGGCCTTTGTCATCAGGCTCAGCGCTGTTTAATTTATTGCAGCTCTATACATATACATATACACCCTATATACATATACACCCTATACACATATGTATATACCCTATATACATACACACCCTATATACACATATGTACCCTATATACACCTATACACACCCCATGTACATGTGTATACCCTATATACATATACACCCTATATACACACATATACCCTACATACACATATATCCTATATATACATATATGTACCCTATATACATACACACCCTATACACACATATATGCCCTATATATACACCCTATATACACATATATACACCCTATATGCATATATACCCTATATACATACATATATATGCACCCTACATACAGGGTGACCTTGACCTTGTGATTCTCCTGCCCTACAGGCATGTGCAGCTTGTTTATAAATCTGATGGAAGTGAGCTGCATTTATGTGATAAATGCTTATTTGTGCTTTATGGACATTGGACACCTTGTAGTTCTCGTATAAATAAATCTAGAATTTTAAGGATGCTATAGATCATCTTGGTTATCTTTTTAAAATATCTCATTTGTTTAGAATGTTCATCCTCCTACCCTCTTTTCTTTTTCTTTATATTTTTTTCTTTTTTTTTCTTTCTTTTTTTGTGACAAGGTTTTTCTGAAACTTGTCCTGGAACTTGCTCTGTAGACCAGGCTGGCCTTGAACTCACAGAGATCCACCTGCCTCCACCTTTCCAAGTGCTAGGATTAAAGGCGTGCTCCACCACTGCCCTGCTTTACCCTATATTCTTTATATAAAGATCCATGCATTGGTGTTTTGCTTACATGTATGTCTGTGTGAGGCTGTCAGTGTCCTCTGGAACTGGAGCTACAGATAGTTGTGAACTGCCATATGGGTGCTGGGAATTGAACCCGAGCCCAGGTCCTCTGAAAGAGCAGCCAGTACTCTTAACCCCTGAGTTGAATACCTTGGAACTAGAATTAAAGGAATAACATAGTAAGATCCCATCCAAAAGGAGAGAGTAAAAACCATAGTTGTCAGTAGTTCTATCTAATTATTGCAGCCGTCCTAAGCTACGTCACTGGGTCCTGTAACCTATTTATGTAAGGTTTGTTGCATTTGTCACACAAAATGTCATTATTTTTGAAAAAAAAATCCCCAGTCAAAAGCATACCTACAACACTACCATACTGTACAAATCAAACACCCTGTAACCACCATGTTTTCTCATTATGACTATAGAATAACACCAATATCTGCTGTTACAAATACTTCCTTTTGCACTGCCTGTTTACTGGAGGACTGTGCTATGTCTAACAGCTATTAAGAAAGCCCTTTGAGGATCTGGAGGGATGGTTCATTGGTTAGGAGCATTTGTTGCTCTTGCAGAAGAATCTGGGTTCACCTTCCCAGCACCCACACTTTAGCTGAACTATGTATGTATTTTAGACTGGCCTCAACTAAACTTCCCGCCTTGGCCTTGGCTTCCTTAATTCTGTTATTACAGGTCTGTGCGTCACACCGCTTGTTATTTAAACTTTCGGCAGTTGTTTACTTTTCAGTGGTAATTCACTGCTTCCACAGAGCTTTCATAGAAGTGCTGCTGCCACATTTGTCAAATGTTAAACGCTTTTACTTCTTCCAAGGATTCAAACCTTTACTATAATACCTGCTAGGTAGAACTTGGAACCAACCAAATGAGTCCATTGTTAGCCAGATTACAACATTCACAGTTTAGAGTTAGGTTTGTACCAAAATAAACAACCAAACAACAACTAGAAAAACTTTCTCTTTCGGGTTTCCTACTGTCTGTGGAGAGCTTTGGTTAAGTTAATGAATTTTATTCAGATAGTCAGTTTTTAAAGGGATCCAGGTTTTTATCAGGTCAGTGTGATTGGTTCTTTTATTCGAAGTCACTTTGTAACAGCGTTTCGTATAAACATTTTTAGAATTGTCTTTTGCATTTATTTACGTAAGTCAAATATTTTTACTCACTTAATGCTAAAAATTTTGAAATTCTGTGATATGGTTTATATACAAGATTCATATTTTAAAAATAACCTCTTAGAACCTGGGTGGACCTCATGCATGCATATATTATGCAGGAAGAGGGGAAGCACCCATCACTAACATCTCACTGTGTATCTCTCCCCTCTGGCTTACTGCTGAGATTAAAGGTTCATTGTGCCACGCATTCTCCAGCTGTCCCCTAATTTTTGAAACCTCATTTTCTTTCAAAGCAAAAAGTTAGACTTATTCTAATGAATAAATAGATTTGTTTCACCATTTTATCCTGACTGTTAGCGTTTTAGTAGAAGAGAAATAGCTAATATACAGCATAGAGCGTTGTGGTGTAAAAGGATTGCTTGGGAGGTTTGCTGTAGTAGAAACCAAGGGTAGACTGCAGTTGAGTCTCTGTATGCTGTCCACTCACCACTCCAGCAGCTATGTGTACCGCAGGTTTCCAGGTCCATACTAGTCCACAGGCCTGGGAGCATTTCGTGTGCTAGAATGCTAATGCTTTGTTGGGCGTTTGTGGGTTTTATTTATTTTATTTATTTAAATAGACTGTTAACAGTTGGAAAGCGTGCAGAAATAGTGCAAAGCAATATGAAGTTAGTGGGGAATATAGAGCTTTGCTTGGAGCATTTGCCTACCTATTCCCTGAATGAAGCCACAGTTATTAATTAGAACTAATATTGTTAATATCACTATCATTTAGTGAATTGCCAAAGGACACACATTCTGAAGTTAGATCATACTCTTATATCTTGTAGCTTTTTTTTAAGATTGTGTTTGTTTGTGTGTGTGTTGAGGAGATACAGTTGCACTGCACCCAGAAGATGGGTGCTATATCCCTTGGAACTGGAGTTAACAGATGGTAGTGAGCTCACCTGTGTATGCTGGGAATTTATAACCAAGGTCATATGCCAGGAGCATTTAAGGCTCTTAACCACTGAGCCCCCTCTCCAGACTTGTGTCATATAATAGTTTGTTTTTCTTGCAGTGCTGGGCATTGAACTCAGAGCTCCCAGCCCCCCCCCCCCCCCATCCCTCTCCCCTTTAGGCTGACCTCAAACACACCATGTAGTCAGATGTCCTTGAACTCATCATCCTGCCTCAGCTTCACCAGTGATCGGATTATAGGTTCGAGCCACAATGTCTAGCTTAATTGCTCTCTGGGAATCATGCTAAATAGAACTATAATGAATACCTGTTTGCATCATTGGAAGTAAAATTTATATACATTAAAGCCTCTTGAATTCAGGAACTTAAAATCACCATATAGATGAGATAGTATTTGTGACCCTAAAGAGAAAACATTTTGAAAGTTGACTAGAATTATAACTGAATATACTCATAGTGGAAGCAGGTTTTCTCCTGCCAGTCTTAACATTACCAGTTTAGATTTAATTAACTTCATTGGCCTAAACTGTTTATGTCAGTGTCTGCCCAGACTTAAACTTTACCTACCTAATTGTGTTAGGGAAGGTGATATGCCTACTGTGTTATAACTTGAGTATTTTAAGTTTAATGAGAAGAGGAAGGCCTCTGCTTTCCTATCAGAGATAAAACAGACTAATTTGGGAAATGAAAATTTTAAGAAAATAATTGTTCTTTTCATTTTAAAGTTTCTTAATTCATATCCTTAGTTATTTTTGGAAAGAGGAATCAATGACGTCCTGCTGATCCTCAGTAAGATGTGTTCATTTAATGAGTCGCACCACACTGTTCATTCCACCCATTGTTTAGAATGGCGGACACTTCTGTCTCAAAATATATAGTTATCCATGAATTGATATACTTGAGTTAACTATTTATTTTGACAGTTACATTTATTTTCCTTTGGTTGGGGGCTTTAAAATGTGAATAAAATTTAATGTTAATGTTTTCCCTCCAATTACAGGAGTCAGAAATACCGTCAGAGGAGGGGTACTGTGACTTTAATAGTAGGCCAAATGAGAACTCTTATTGCTATCAACTTCTTCGTCAACTAGATGAGCAGAGAAAGAAAGATATTCTTTGTGATGTCAGCATTGTGGTGAGCGGGAAAATCTTTAAAGCTCATAAGAATATCCTGGTTGCAGGCAGCCGTTTCTTTAAGACTTTATATTGTGTTTCAAACAAAGAAAGCCCTAACCAAAACAATACTACCCACTTAGATATTGCTGCAGTTCAAGGTTTTTCAGTCATCTTGGACTTCCTGTATTCTGGGAACCTGGTGCTCACAAGCCAAAATGCCATTGAAGTGATGACAGTGGCCAGCTACCTTCAAATGAGTGAAGTTGTCCAGACTTGCCGAAATTTCATTAAAGATGCCTTAAATATAAGCATTAAATCAGAAGCTCCAGAGTCTGTGGTTGTGGACTATAATAATAGGAAACCAGTTAATAGAGATGGCCTGACTTCATCAAGGGATCAAAAAATTGCCAGCTTCTGGGCGACACGGAATCTTACCAATTTGGCAAGTAGTATAAAAATTGAAAATGATGCTTGCAATGTCGACGAGGGCCAAATAGAAAACTACCAAATGAATGACAGTAACTGGGTCCAGGATGCTTCTCCTGAATTGGCTGAAAATGAATCTCAAGGTAAAACAAAAGTGTTTATTTGGAATAATGTGAGCTCTCAAGAGACTGGCAAAGCAAGGAGGAAAAACCAAACTACCAAGAGATTTGTTTATAATATACCACCTAATAATGAAGCAAATGTAGAAGATTGCTCAGTGATGCAGCCACCTGTTGCCTATCCAGAAGAAAATAACGCCCTACTCATCAAGGAAGAACCAGGTAACTATCATATGTGCAAAGGTACCTCAGTTTTCATTCTGATTGCACTTCAAAAATCATTTTGAGATTTATTTATCTTTTAGTTGGAAAATGTTTAGTCATGAATGGTAATAAGAACAGGGGTATTCAAATTTGGGTTTTTTTTTTTTGGTGGTGGTGTGTATGTGAGTTTAAACGTTTTAGATTGGGTAGTAGCTAAAGTACTGTCTGTCTTATTAATAAGTATTGCATATACAGATTATATAGGTTATATATTATTAGGTTATATCTGTAAACACATCATAAGATGAATGAAGCTGTCTCTAGGTCAGAAATGCATTAAATAAACTTAGCACCGTTTGGCAGCTCATTCAACAAGACCTCTATCTTATAAGTAGTAAATGTCTTATAGTAGTAAAAAGTAATAAATAAGTTAACCGAAAGTAAAATAAAGTAAAGTGGTTGTAGAGCTTGCTTTTGTTTTATAACAATTTGGAAAATTTTTAGATTGAACTCTTCAGAGTATGGCTCCTGCAGGGCAAGGTCTGCCCTGTTTTTGCATGACTAGAAGGGAGTGTTTAGTTGTCGTGTGTAGAGTTAATCACTTTGTCTTTTTGAAATATTTGTAGGATCTAGTTAACATTTTTTTTAATTTAAGCATATTTATTGCTATAGAATTTTGCCAATTCAGAGAATTCTAATTTGTTTAGAGCTTAGCACAGGGCCTCAGAAGCAGGAGGTTCTGAGTTGTCACCTGAGTCTCGTTATATATAATTTGTAAGGTTTAGGAGGTGGGGTGGGGCTTGTTTGTTTTTGAAGAATTTTAGTTTTTCTTTCCAAACATATGCCAAAGAGGCTTTTGTTTTCACTATATTCTTAAGTGAGTATATACACGCCATATTGGTGGTAAAGACCTTTTTAAAAATGGAGTAAAAGACTGCTAAAGAATACAGATAGAATGGACTTAAATTGGCTCTACCTAATTTTGAAACATCTTGGGGGGGGGTTGAGAGTTCTCATATTTTAAGTTTGTGCTTTATTAATTGTGTGAAAATGCCTGAACTGGCAGGGTTGCATATATACTCTGGCATTTTGGAGGCATAAGCAGGCAGATCTCTTGAGTTCAAGGCCAGCCTGGTCTACATAGCAAGTTCCCTTACAGGCACTCTCAAAAAAAAGAAGATCCCCCCCCCCCCAAAATGCCTGTAGGTGTGTGATTTCTATAATGAGGATGGAGTGGGGTTTTTTGGTTGTTGTTTTGTTTTTTGTCTCTCAGACAGGGTTTCTCTGTTGTTGCAGTCCTAGCTGTCCTGGAACTAGCTCTTGTAGACCAGGTTGGCCTCAGAGATCCCCCTTCCCAGTGCTGGGATTAAAGCTCCATCCGCCCATCTTGATGGAGTACTTCCCGTTAAAAGTTACTATTTTTATTCTGTGTGTGTTTGTGTAAAAGCCATAGCACACACATGTGAAAGTCAAAGGACTGCTTTGTGGTGTTCTCACTTTTATGATAGTTCCAGGAATCAAACTTGGGTTGTAAGGCTGACAAGTCAAACTCCTTTCCCTACTGAGCCATCCTGCGCGTCGTCACACAACTGTTTTCCTTTCCAGAAGGCAAGCCTGGGAAATGGGTTTTGGCCTTTTGGATTGAGTTAGTTTTCACTAGTAGAAATAATGATGTGGAAATGAATAATACTAAATTTTCTTTGGGTCCCCACAAGATTATTAGTGCCCCCAATTAGCAGGAAAAAAACCTAGAAAACTGTCTATGTTAACAAAAAAAATGGATTATTAATGTTTGTCTTTGTTTAGACTGTTGGTTACAAGTTTTTATAGATAATGGTCAGAAAAAAAGCTAAACAAAGGAAATTAGATTCAGGTTCTTGCTTTGAAAAGAAAAAAAGGGAAATGATGTTGGATAAGGCTCTTGTACGTTTTTTTTAATTTATTTTTTTTTATGTGCATGTATGTTCCACCTGCATCTGTATCTATGTATAATAATTGTGTGTGGTGTCTGTGAAGGCCAGAAGAGGTCCTTAGGTATCCTGCCTGGGACTGGAGTTGAAGGAAGGTTGTGAGCTGTCGTGTGGGTACTGGGAATTGAACCCAGGTCCTCTAGAAGAACAGCCAGTATTCTTAACCACTGATTGGCTAGTAGCCAGACAGGAAGTATAGGCGGGGCAACTAGAATAGAATTCTGGGAAGAGGAAAGGCAGAGATGCAGTTACAAGCCAGATGCAGAGGAAGCAAGATGAGAATACCTTACTAAGAGAAGGTACCAAACCACGTGACTAAACATAGACAAGAATTATTGGCTAATTTAAGATGTAAGAACTAGTTAATAATAAGCATGAGATAATGGGCCAAACAGTTTATAATTAAAAAATTAATGTATGGGAATGCACATGCATATTGCAGGGTCTCCCCATGTAACTCTGTCCTGGAACTCGCTATGTAGACCAGGTTATCCTCAAACTCATAGCGATGCCTGCCTCTGCCTCCCAAGTGCTGGTACTAAAGGTGTGTATCACCCTGCCCTGCTGCTGTTCTTTTTCCTTGTATTTTCTATCAGTTTTATCAGCAAATCCCTGATGAGACTTTTTTTTTGGAGACAGCCTATGTAGCACAGGCTGACCTCTGACTGTAGTTGAGTATCACCTTTATATCCATTCTGATCCTCTTGGTTCCACCTCACAAGTCCTGAAATTATAAGGGCATGCCAACATTTCTGCCTCTGAGACAGTTTTTATATAATGCCTCAGCTGGCACTTTGTGTATTGACTTTTATTGATACAGAAGTCCTGACAGTTCAAAAATGGTAATGTATTCCAACGTGGTAGTAGCTAGAGGGTTTTAAGAAATTGTGTACACACACACACACACACACACCCTAAACCACTGAAACATGAATATAATAAAAAACCTTTTGGAAAACAAGCAGGTATTTTGGGTGATGGCAGAACTAAGTAGAGCAAATCCTGTTCTTATAATTGCCACATCAAAGCCTATCAGTGGTGGTGCACTTTAATCCCAGCGCCTTTAACAGCACTCAGGAGTCAAAGGCAGGCTGATCTCTTGAGTTCAAGGTCAGCCTGGTCTACAAGAGCTAGTTCAGGACAGGTTCTAGCTACAGAGAAACCTGTCTCGAAAAACAAAAACAAACAAACAAGAAAAACACAGAGAAATTACCACATAAAATTGGAATGACTTTAAAAAAAACAACAGAAAAAAGAAAATAAAAACAACAGTATTGACCCATGATGAAAATACTTCAAAAAGTCTCAACACTGTTAGCAATTATTTGAGTAAGCACTGAAAACTGATGACAGTTTAATGTGTCAGTTTATCTCATCCTAAAAATGATAAATGTCATGCTTTTGCATCATTTATAGCACTTTGGTGCCTGAACTTGCTTCAGTCACAAATTTGGTTTCATGGTGATAAACTGCATATCAACTGGTGATGGAGTAAGAGCCCAGATTCAGTTAGACATTAAAACTGAGTGTGATTGGTATGATTGACTTGGTTAAGGTTGTGTCTTTATTCTTTAAAAATGCATTCTATTTTTTTACAAAATCATATGGAAATTAAACGACAAGCATACATGCACAGTTATCTACCATGGTCATGTCTAGTGCCCTTAAAGTTGGGAAAGACTTTTGAAGTTATTTATAACAGTTTTCCAGTGTTGTGTGCTTTCTGCCAAACGCTAGATAATTGGTTTACATAGCGTGGCTTGCTTGAATGCTGACAAACATGACCTTAAGCAGCCTGTGTATATGATAAGTGTTAATAGAAGTTGCCATTATATTAAGCCAAAATTAACTTCTGGAATACCCATATTCTGCTTTTTTAGTGTAATTTGGACATAGTTTTAAACCCTTTAATTGGATTAGAAATTTAAATACTTCTGAACTCATGTTTAATTTAAGTGCCATTCCTTCTCTGTTGAGTATAGAGAATTGAAATTTGTAGGGAAGTTCTTACCAACAAAACAAATCTGTGTGTTTATTAAGGTGAAGGCCTTTCCTAAGATTATTCCATAGTAAAAGGAGTCTTCAGGTTCGTGTCTCATGCTAAGATCTTAAAAAGATTCATTCTGAACCTGAAAATTTGTTCATAAACTTCTATATAAGAAAAATGAAAAAATAGTGAAATTGATGCTTTTGCATCAATTTAAAACTCCTATTACAAACATCTGAAAAGTGCTAGTGAATATTTTGAAATCTAAAAATCAATGCTTAGCACATTTAACTTGTGAATACCTGTAAAGGAAATGTGACTTCCTCCAGGTCGTAAGTCTGTAGTTAGTAACTGCAGGTCTAAGAATGTCTTGTGCCGTTGTAATGTTGAAGCTGGTATTGCATCTCCTAACATTTTCTGGAGGTTATATTGAGGCTTACATTTTGATTCTTTAAAGTAGCATATCTTGTTTGACTTAACTGAATTGTCTTAATCAAATGACATATCTATACACAGGAATATATGAAGGGGAACCGAGGATTTTAAATTTTTGTCCTTTCGTATTGGATTTATAGGCTAAAAACTGAAAACTTGCCAGTCAAATAAAAGAGTTCTAATGATTTTTAATTGTTTTTTTAACTGATTTGTTACTGGGAAATTAAATTCTAACCAAATTGGGTAAATTATAAGATTTAAAATTTAGTTACTAATTTATTTTTCAATATTGTGTTTTAAACACAGGGCGCTGTGAATGCAAGACAAGAGTTTTACTTATTTTTTTTTATTGATTTTTATTGAGCTCTACATTTTTCTCTGCTCCCCTCCCTGCCTCTCCCCTCCCCTTCAACCCTCTACCAAGGTCCCCATGCTCTGAATTTACTCAGGAGATCTTGTCTTTTTCTACTTCCCATGTAGATTAGATCTATGTGTGTATCTCTTAGAGTCCTCATTGTTGTCTAGGTTCTATGGGATTGTGATTTGTGGGCTGGTTTACTTTGAAGAGCTTTACTTATGAAGTACGCATTTAGGCCTTAAATTTTTATTTGTTATATCTGGCACAGGCTAATAGTAAGATGTCCTGGCCTTCATTGAACTTTGTGTATAGTTCAGGAAGACCTTGAACTTGTGATGCCTCAACTTCTGGAGCATTTTGGTAAATGGCATGTGCTACCCCAACCTGTGTCTTTTTTATTATTACGTTTATTTTGCATGTTGCATATGTAAGGTCACCACAGTATGAATTTGGAAATAGGACAGTTTGCAGGAGCTGGTTTTTACCTTCCACCTGATGGGTTCCAGGGAACCTCAGGGCAACAGACTTGGCAGTAGTAAGCATCTTTACCCACTGGGCCATCTCATTGACCCTAGCCTCACATTCTTAATTTGCATAACTGCCTTTTAGTGAAATAGTGTATAATATTTAGAAAGCAGTTTTGAGGAAGCAGTACTCAAAGTACATACCTTTAGGAATCTTAATAAAGCATGTATCCAAAATAACTAGTAATTCTAATTGCAGGAAACTTTTAATTAGGATTATATGCTAGTCAACATTTCTGTCCTATATTTGTGGTAATAATTATTTTTCATCATTACTTTGGGTATTGCAAAATTCTGAAATGCTTTCTAAATCATGCATATTCTTTAAAAATTAACACGTTTGTGTGCATGTGCACGTGTATTTATATACCTTCTTGTGTGTGGAAGCCAAAGGTCAGTTTACGGAGAGTCTGTTCTCCTACATGTAGCTCACAGAGCCTGAACACAGGTCATGCCTTTACCACTGAGATAGTTCACATGCCATTAAACTCTTGGACATTTCTGAGTCCTCGTACTGTTTTGACCTTGTAATAGAACCTCTTGTATGAACTGTTCAGAGTAGAGTCTAGAACTGTGGAGTTTGCTTTGATTGAAATGTGGGTTTTAGGTTTGGTTCTGTTACTTAGGAATCCCCTAGTGTACCTCGAACAACTGCTCTAATGGGAAAGGAGGAAAGCAAACAGCTCAGAATTTAGAAATTATGTAAAAGTGTCCAAGATTCCAAATTTTTAAAGAAAATTAGTTTTGTTAACCATTTTTTTGTATGTTTTAATGTTTTGTCTTAAATTTTGTCATAGATATGTTTGTGTTGTTGTGGCAAGGTCTGGTTATGTAGTTCAGCCTAGACCACCACTTTTGCAGTCTGCATGTTGTGGTTGCAGGGTGCTGCCTATGTACTCCAGTGGGTTGTTGAACTAATGTGCATTCTCCCCTCCGTTTATGGACTTGGACTCCATTCTAGATGTTCAGGCAACACTTAAGGGCATCATTTGTTGAAGATTTTATGTTGTGAAGAATGAGCCCCCCTCCCAAAAAGGAAGGTTTACTTCTCACTTTAAAACTTAGTAGTTATTGGGCCGTGAAATCTTACCAAATAAGAATTTTTAAATACTTAAGAGATGGAACTGTGAAAATATCTGTCATCCCCCTCCCCCATGAATTTGGCTCTTGATATTTTTTATTTTTCATTTTGGAAATGATCTCTGGCTGTTGAGACTGGCTTTGAACTGATCTCCCTGCCTCTGCCTCTCAGGTGCAAGAGTTATATAGACTCTCAATTCTGGTTTCTTTCCTTTCCCATTTCATTCGGGTGTATTGGTGGTTACAGCCTGCAAGTAAGAAACCCCAGGGAACAGAGGTGAAGCTATAGGAACTTAGGAGCTGAAAAAAGAAGCCTTCTGTGAATTAATCCATAAGAGAGCGTTTTTGTGATTTATTTGCTGCAGGCGATAAGTAGTCTGAATACTATTAATGTGGATCTCTAAGTTTGGAGACGTAGTAGTTGTGTTTTGGTAATGCAAGGCATTGAACTGGAGTCTTTGTGTATCTATCATCTTCCAACCCTTCAAGTTTATATAATACTGTTAGCTTCTCACAGCAATATAGTAAGTTGACCAGACTGTTGAATTTATCTCCTTTTTAATTTTTGCACTGAGTGTTTTGTCTGCATGTATGTCAGTTTTTTATGTGCATGGTTGGTGTCCATGGAAGCTAGACAAGAACTGGAAATTGAAGATGATCGTGATCCTTTATGTGGATGCTGGGAATTGAACCCAGGTCCTCTGGTAGAGCAGCCACTTGTTCTTAACCACTGAGGCATCTCTCCTGTTTTGTTTTGTTTTGTTTTGTTTTCAAGACAGTTTGTCTATGTAACAGCCCAAGCTGTCCAGGAACTCACCCTATAGACCAGACTGGCCTCCATCTACCTGCCTCTGCCTCCCGAGTGCTGGGGTTAAAGGCATGCACCACCACTGCCTGGCTGTTTCCTGTTTTGAATATATGTCTGCATGTAGACAGGTGTGCACATCCACCTTGTTTCCACCCCCTTTTCTGTTTTTAAAATGAGTCTCACTTGCCTGGAACCTGCTTTGCCAAGTGGGCTGGATTGGCTGGTAAGGCAACATCAGGGATCAGCCTGTCTCCACTTTATCAGCACTGGTTTATAAGTAACTGAGCTGTCACACTCCAGCCAGAGTATTTGAAATTTTTTGTTCTTAAAGCTGTACAGTATAGCAAATGATACTTCTGGGAAATTCCTTTCCACATCATAAAGAGTCTGGAAACAAAATTTACATCTCAAGATATCAAGCACATTCTAGAGATTAAGACTAAGAATATCGTACCTGAAGCTACTTTGTAAGTAGTAATTCATGATCTATTGGGTGCTTAGGAATCATGAGAAAGGTTCCAATGTGGGAGGTGGGCTGACAGCCCAGAAAAGATTTGTTAGAGAATGCAGTGAGAGTTGGTGTGGTGTTGTGGGGCAGTTTGTTGGGAGAGGAACAAAGATGTTCATGGCAGGGGAGCAAGAACCTGGAGTGCATGGACCAGAGGACAGAAGACACAGTGAATGGGAGAGAGGCTAGGTAGGTTAGGGCTAGAGTATATATTGTATGCCACATAGTGAGTTGTGAAATTTGTTTTATGACTTGGGCAGCAGAGGTTTCTCAGGTAGAGGTTTGATCTGTTTAATTAGAATTAGAGTGTATTTAGGAAACTAGTTAAGGACTATTTGTTGACAGAAATATGTCTTTGAATAGTGAGAAGAAGAAACTATGTGGAGCCCAGTGTAAACAAGACAGGGCTGTCAGTCATTGAATCAATGAGTTTGGGTGAAGGAAAACAAGTTTCTAGGATGCTAAGAAACTAGCATTTACAACATTTCTGTTGTAAATGAAATTACTGAATAGGAAAGAGAAAGAGAAAAATACCCGTTTTGGTTATGATAAATAAAGGGCTTGCTTTTAAGTAACGCATGCTTTTTTATATGCCATGGTAATAAATTATGAATATGTTTATATGAAAATGAAATTTGTTTAGATCATAGTCTATAAGAGTTTGTGCAATGGAATTTCAGCTATTTTTAAAATTTTTCTGCTGTCAATTTATACCCTATTTTTGAGAGTATTGGAATGCCTAAGGGTGCTGTGTCCTGCTCTGCTATCCCCTGAGATACAGGATCTGTCATTGAACCTGGCTGGCAATACCCAACAATCTTCTCAGTGCCAAAACAGTACTGGGTTACTGGGTTGCAGACGCACTGCACGTTTCATGTAGGTCCTGGGATTTTGAAATTGTACCATCAGTTTTCACAAACTCGCGTCATTTCTCCTGTCTTCATCTCTCAGGGGTTGAAATTACTGGTTCAAGCCTAGCACACTCAGCACGGTTCTCTTGGATACTCCGACCTGGAGTTCTAGAGTCTTCTTTTAGAGATTTTTTTATTTTATGTATTACATGTATGGGTGCTCCATCTGCATATGTGTCTGCATGACAGAAGAGGGCACTGGTCCCATTACAGGTGGTTGTGAGCCACCAGGTGTTTTCTGGGAATTAAACTCAGGACTCCTGGAAGGGCAGCCAGTGTTCTTAACTGCTGAGCCTTCTTTCCACCCCCAAGTTCTGGATTCTTAAAAATATTCTTTCTCATTGTTGATATATGTTGAGTGTCCTTGACATCTTTCAGTGACTTCTGGCAGCATTTAAAGATAATTTTTATCCCCTAAAAATAATTCTTACTCTGTTTCTCACTCTTCCATCTTATAGTCACATTTCTTAAAACATTCCCTCATTCTTTTATTCCCAACACAAGCATTCCTTCTTTCCACTTGCCCTGTTAATCTTCCAAGTATTATCCTAAGAGTGTTATAAATACTTTGTGAATGGGATAAAAATAATTCAGGGGTCCTTTTATATTCTTGGCCTTTTCTCATGGTCTTATTCTTTGCCTTGTTTCTCATTATATGACACCCACATCATGGCATATAACTATCTGTAACTCCAGTTCCAGGAACTCAGATGGGCACACACATAGTGCACATACATGCGTTAAGGCATTATATTTATACAAAAAGTAAAATGATGCTGTCATTGTTTTTAGTATGTTCTAGCTCATCTTACATGACATTGTAAAGAAAGTAGTATTACCTAGGATGTTTAGGACTTACAGAGCCCTGGTTGAATCCTCAGCATCACACAGAACATTTAGTTAAAAGTAGTTTCTCATATTAGCACAGTTTTCACAATTAACAGCAAGTCAGAAATAACAGGACTGGTGAGAAGACTTGTAAGAGATTGCTATACAGGTCTGGCATCCTGAATTTAAGTCCTGGAACCCATGGTAAAAGGAGAGACTCTGCAAGTTCATACTCTTGGCACACATTAGGTACATGAGTGTTACGTTTATTTAACAAGTATTTGGAGGGCGTTCATTTTAGACAGTAGGAAAGTTAGGGTCTTTGCTTCACCTGGAGTTTACATTTGTTTGTATTGTAGCTAAGCCTCTCTGGCTTACAGTGTTGCGCATGTGGTGGATACACAATACTGGAAGGCCTCTTAACTGGCCTGCATCATAAACAAAAGAGGTCTAGAAAGAAACTAGTGTTCTTGGTGAATTGTTATGCTGTGGTTGTAAATAAACATCTTGTATCATTTTCAGATTTGGACGGTGCACTACTCTCAGGGCCTGATGGTGATAGGACCGTGAACACAAATTTATTGGCTGAAGCCTGCAGTGGTCAAGATGCAGGTGATGCTGGTAGGTACAGTAAGATTTTTAGCAAGAACATATCTAAGAGGATCTGAAGACTGTGGAGTGCTAGTGTGTGTATATGGTTACTGGAGTCTACCGTAGGTTCTTTGCTATTTGTGTGTAATTGCTTCCAGTTAGAGACCAATCTGAGATTAGTTAAGGTTGTGATGACTTTAGGAACTTGGTAAATACAAATTGATATTCCTTTAGTTTTGTTTGAGAAGACTTAATCGGTATTTTTAAACACTTTAAATATTGCCTGGTTTAATGGAGCTTATAACTTCCTGCCTGCTAATTGATGGAATTGAAAGGGTAGTTATCACAATGATTGTCTAGTGTATTTTAATTAGTTCTCAAAAAATAATTGTGATCATTGATGACTATAGAAAATGTTGAAAGGGACTGTAGAGATAGCTCAGCAATTAAGAGCACTGTGATTCCCAGCACCCACACCCAGTGGCTCACAAACATCTATAATTCCAACTAAAGGCACATGGCCTTTAGGAGTACATACATTTATGTTACACATACATACAGACATACACAATAAAAAAAAACATAAAAAATTTAAAAGAAATGTTAATGAATTTTAAATAGTGATATTTAAATCAGTTATACTTTAGGGAAGCCTTGATGTGTATAAGGGCAAAAAATTTATGAATCTAGCCAGTGGCGCACATCTTTAATCCCAGCACTCGGGAGGCAGAGTCAGGTGGATCTCTGTGAGTTCGAGGACTGCCTGTTCTACAGAGGGAGTTCCAGGACAGGCTCCAAAGCTAGAAAAACCCTGTCTTGGTTAAAAGAAAAAAAGAGAGAAATTATATTAATCTATTATAAATAAAATGGAATAAAAGAGAAGATTACTAACGTGTTAAAAACAGAAGGTTGATAGAATTAGACAGAAATCTACATTGTAGCCCTCAAAATTAATTCTCTTTAAAAGTTTTTTTAATTGCTACATTTTGTGTGTGTGCATACCTACCTTACCGAGAGGGAAGAGGTATGGACACACTAATGAGATCCGAGGAGCATTAATATAACCAACTGTTCAGAATGACTGTCATTGAAAACAACTTAATGAAATGGTGTGAACCTTTGGGTATACAGCAACCTAGGTAGAATTTTTGAACAATGTTTAACCTGAATCTTATCTGTGAGGAGAAAATTTAAAAACACAGCAGGCAGTCCAAGTCCTGTCCAAGCTGGACAGAAAAGACATACAAAGGAACCACTAGATGAAAGGAGACTAGACTCAATACAGTCTCGGTTAGATCAAGAACTTTTGCCCTTTCAGGAAGAAGTTGGAAATACGGCTATGTATTTGTTAGCAATATTCAACTTAAACTTTGTGTGCATTATGGTTTTGTAGAAGAATGTTTGATATATATAATATACACACACACATTTTTATTTGTGTATAGTAAATATGTATTGTATTTAGGCATAAAGGAAAAAGTTCACAAAATGTGCACAAAAGAAAAGGGGCAAAATATTAACATTTAAAGGTGAAATATAGATGTAAATTCAACTTCATGTTTGACTTTTTAAAATGAATGGTGGAAGAGCAGGTGGCACTGCTTGTAAAAGTTATTGGCTCTGCCACTCCCTTTCAGGTGCTGGATATCAAACATGGGCCTCGAGTATGCCGGCCACGCCCTGTGCTTCTGAGAGACACCTTTTTGTTTTGTTTTGCTTGATTCAGGTCACGCTATGTAGCCCTGGTTGGCCTGGAACTCAGATCTCCCTGTCCGTATCCCCCAAGTGCTGGAATTAAAGGCATATGCTACCATGCCCAGCATGCCTTTGGATTTTTTTTGAGCAATAGAGAATTTTGAAGATCTTTTAAATGAATTACTTATTTATTGATTGTACAGAGAATTACAGCTGTCTTAAGAGTATTTAATAGAACCCAATTTTTTGGTTTAGAAATTGGGCTCAAGAATGTAAAACTGAACATTGAGCACATGTTTGAAATAGACCGTAATAACTCTTAGGTATGTTGAATTATAGTTCCTCATAATTTCTACAAGTTAACTTTGCTAATATTAAGAATTAGAAGACGTCTAGGAAATTTGGAGTGAGGGTTTCTTAATTTGAATTGCAAACATTTTTTAATTTTTTTTTATTTATTTTGATTTATTTGTGTGTACACAATGTGGCACTGAGGTCAGTAGACAACAGGGAACTGACTTTCTACCATGTGGGTCCCAGGAATCGGTCAATTGATAGTGCTTGGCGGCAAGAATCTTAATCCACTGCGCTATCTTCCTACGTTGTGTATTTCTGACTGTTAATCATGAATGGTATACACAGAGAAGCATGGAATTGGAAGTGTGTGGTTTTTTAAATTTAATTCTAATCTTGCATTGTCAGTTTATTATTATAAATATTTCTGTCTGTATGTAGTCAGCGTTATTTATTTGAATTTTAGCAGTGATTTCTGAGGTCAACTTTTGAAGTATATTGAACAAGTTAAAAATATCAAGTACACATTGGCTTTCTAAAATATTTATTCAACAAATAGGTAAAGGTCATTTATGTTAAACACTAGAAGCACAAAGATAAAACAGGTCTCGCTGTCCTAGAGAGCAACTGTAATTTGTTTTGTACACAGGTAAGAAATAGGAATCATAAAGCCCCAGCTCTGTTTAGAAATGGGAAGGTGGAAATTGAAAGGTTGACTACCCCAGGCTGCCATTCCATTCCCTGCCCTGCCCTGTCCCATGTCCCACTAGTTTGGAGATCGACAGCATTGTATTTATAGCCCCAGAGGGTTCGTTTTTTTGGTGATTTTCAAGACAGGGTTTCTCTGTATGGCCTTGGCTGTCCGGGAACACACTTCCTCCCTCCCTCCCTCCCTCCCTCCCTCTGTGCGTGCGTGCGTGTGTGTGTGTGTGTGTGTGTGTGTGTGTGTATAAAGCAATATAATGGTAATGTAGTACATTTTAGAAAATCATCCCACAAAGATTTTTTTTAAAACTTCCTTGTATATTCTTCTACCAAAGAAAAAATAAATTTGCTCTAGCTTTTTGTAGCTTTGGTCCCTGTCCTGGAACTCACTTTATAGACCAGACTGGCCTTAAACTCACAGAGATCCACCCGCTCTGCTTCCTGAGTGCTGGGGTTAAAGGCGTGCGCCACCACTGCCTGAAAATTTTACTCTACTTTTTAACAGTACAATATGTAAATGGTAATTTAATTTTTATGAAATAAAGAAGTTTATGGGATAATTTTATTATCAAAGTGCTTGGGACCAGATGTTTTTGAAATGTTGGAGTCTTTTCAGAGTTTGAAATATTTTGCATGACCTTTACTGATAGGTTGACATCTCTCATCTAAAAACTTGAAAATGCTCCAAAATCTGAAAGTTTTTTTTTTTTAATTTTAACTTTATTTTACGTGCATTGGTTTGTTGGTGTGAAGGTGTCAGATCTCTAGGACCTGGAGTTACAGACAGTTAGGAGCTGTGGTACTGGGTACTGGGAATTGAACCTGGGTCCTCTGGAAGAACAGTCAGTGTGCTTAACCACTGAGCCATCTCTCCAGCACCCTGTCTGAAAGTTTTTTGAGAATTCTAGATTTGTGAGTATTTGAGGTTGTGTGGGTTTTTAGGTTAGAGATGTTCTGCCTGTGTTATTACTACATGAATGAGCTCTGTGCATATCTATATTAAAAAGGAATGTTTCCGAGAAGTCAGAGTTAAAAGTGCCTATTTACCACACGTGGAGAAACCTCCCAGAGGTCCTTATGTTGGAATGGAGCAGCCCAAGAGGTGTTTGGAAGGAAAGGCTCCATCAGATTAGTCTTTGATCCGGTATTGAACGTGAATTAGATGGGTAGCCCTTGATTCTTGCAGCCTGACAGACTCTGAATCAGTCTGCTGGGTTTGATCTTATGTTTGAAACAGGGTCTTTCTCTTACTAGTCTGGCTTTTTGTATCAACTTGCCTCAGCCTCCCAAGCATTGTGGTTTTATTGTCTTATAAAGATTTGCTGACAGGTGTGGTGGTGCATTTGGGAAGTGAAGGCAGGAGGTTGCTTAGTTCAAGGCCAGCCTGTACTGCATAATACCACATCTCAAAGGGCAAATGCTGTGACTGAGTGGGAACTGGGTAGCAAGTTGGCAACCACTGAAAAAGAATCCACATGTTAGAATTGATGGTTGGTTGGATCGAGTGGCAAAATCTGATGATTCTGTATACAGAAGAAATTCTTTGGCCCAATAAATTTATGTATATATTTAAAATGTAATTGAATCCAGAAAGAGGTCATTCTTGACTCTGTCGGGTTTTTATAGGACTAGGCTTTTGTTGTTAGTAAGGTTTTGTTAGTAAACTTTTGGAGTTTCAAGAATTTTATTTATATTGTTTCAGTATGGGAATTGAATTCAAGACCTGTTGTTTTTATTTAGGTTTTGGAGTGAAGACAGGGTGAGGGAATTGGATAGTTTTTAGGACAGGATCTTCTATGTGACCATATCTGACTCCAAATTCACAGTGTATCCAAGTTTGACCCTGAACTCCTGGCCTGTTTTAACCTTATGTCGTAGGAGCACAGGTGTGAGTGAGTCAGCACACAGAGCTTTATTCAGTGTCTATTAGATAGCTTATCATTGTTCTTATCGTTGTGTTTTATTTTCTTGGGCTCTAATTAAGGGATAACAGACTTCCCCTAACCATTTCCTCTAAATCCCCTTTCAATTGCTCTAGGAGCATCCCATGATTTCAAGTATGGTGTGATGCCTGGCGCTTCAAATGACTTCAAGTATGGATTGCTACCAAGTACTTCAAATGATTTCAAATATGGATTGTTACCAGGTGCTTCAAATGATTTCAAGTATGGATTATTGCCAGAATCTTGGCCCAAGCAAGAAACGTGGGAAAATGGCAAGTATTATCAACAAATACAAAATGGTAATTTTTAATATTTAAAAGTGTCTACATTCTGAGTTTTAAAGAATAAATAGTAGCTGTTGTTATGGCTAAGCATAGAAGTGTTGATATGAGATTTCTGTTTAAAAGTATATACAGTAAACAGTACTTTTTTCTTCCTTTAAGGTGACTCATCTCTAATCATGAACAAGTTAAAATGCCCTCACTGTACCTATGTAGCCAAATACAGACGAACACTAAAAAGACACTTGCTCATTCATACTGGAGTGAGATCGTTTAGCTGTGACATTTGTGGGAAGCTGTTTACTAGAAGAGAACATGTAAAAAGACATTCCCTGGTGAGTGAGCATGGAGACGAGGGCTTTTATGGCGGGGATGTTTCTAGCATTTTATTTGCAAGTTTAAAGAAGAATGGTTAAAGTTGCTTTAAACAATTATTTTTGAGCTAATACTGTCCTTCATCAAGAAAATATTCATTAGCTATCCTTTTATTACTAAATGTATGGCTTAATTTGAATGTGTTCTTTATCTGTACTATACTTATTTTGGGTTTTTCTCCCAATTAGGTGCATAAAAAGGATAAGAAATACAAATGCATGGTGTGTAAGAAGATCTTCATGTTAGCAGCCAGTGTTGGAATAAGACATGGATCTCGACGCTATGGAGTCTGTATGGACTGTGCAGATAAGTCACAGCCAGGAGGGCAGGAAGGTGCAGATCAGGGACAGGATGCAGAGTTCCCTCGGGATGAAGAGTATGAGGAGAATGAAGGAGGAGAGCCTGAGGACGAGCTGGCTGAGAATGGAGATCAGAACGATGCGTCTCGGTGGGATGAATCAGGAGATGTTTGTATGTCTTTGGATGCTTAACTGACCTACTATATTCCTCAAGAATGCTGCATTTGGACATACTATGAATCGACAATTTGGATTGTTGAACTTGAAGGCTTGCAAAATATGGTACATGCTGGATGGTAGTTACGTTGCTGTGAAAAACTGTAGGGTTAAAGCCTTATAGCAAAAAAAAAATTTTTTTTATATTTGCACAGGACTGTACAGCAAACAACCATGTGGTTGGATACATGGAGTCCCCACATTCAGTCAGTTATCAAAGTAAAATATTTTTTATTTATAGGATATACAGTTAACTATTTGGGTTCTATGAAAATATAGTACTTGTCCTTTCTAGAGGTTACATTCATGTACTACTGTAACATGAATGAAGAAAATCCATTTATGGAAGTACAGTGACAGTTGACCCAATCACTCTGTCAATCAAACCACTCAGGCTAGTTTGTACTAGTAGAGTTTTGTTTCTATTTTTATTTTATTAATTTTATTTTTTTTAATACAGATTTTCAGTGAGGGGCTTTTTCAACCCCATTGGTTCTATTTTCTTGTATTTTTTTCATTTTATTTGCTTTATAACTTAAACCAAGTCTCTTCTAGTCTTAGATATTATTTCTGAATTCTGTGCTGATAGGCATGTTTATAAGAACTGGAGAGGTAATTTATTGGAATGAACTGACTCCCCTTCCTCCCTTCCACTTTGTCATGAATTTTCCCACTGCACAAATGAAGAATGATGTTACGACGTTACCATGGTGAAGCTGACATAAACCACTAAACTGATTATGACTTAGAAGTGACTTTCCTGCTGCTCTGATTCGATAAATGGTTACTATATGATGTTTTCTGACATGGGTTTTGGTTTTGGGTATCTGTTACTTTGGCACTATTCTTGTTTGCCTCTTAAATTTTGCCAGTGTACTATACCTCAGCCTTATTTGAAATACAGAAGTCTAATTGAAGAAAAGTCATAGAAAAATGCATAAAATGATTTGTTTTATAATTTATCATCCATGTCCAGTTTGGTTAGCTTGTTATGCAAAATAAGTGAAATATCAGGGTTCCCCCCCCCCGTGCCCTTTTTTTATCATTAAAATTAACCCAAAATGTGCATTCTCTTTTGTTTCATACTTACCGGGATATTGAGTGATATAAATTGTGGCTGGTAATTTATTTTTCCATTCCTTAAAGTCACCATACCTTGATGAAATCTTTATAGTCACCATGATTGAACAATCTGCAGAAATATTACAAATAAAATGTTGAGCCTTTATTGTTCCATTATCTAAATTCTTCAGGAGTCAAAAGAGTGATTCATTGAGTTGAAATTGTTAGATTTATTTTGCCTGGTGACAGATGAAGTAGCTGACAGTGGAGCTCTGCGCAGCCTTCTACATACTAACATGACGACGTGGGTCAGGAGCGTGTTGTGTATTAGAGAGGAGTGAGAGACAGCATATTTTCAACTTTCTTTTAAATACAAATTGAGTATATTTTCCTATTTTATATCAAGTATCTAAATTAGGCCAGTTGTGTGGAAGAAACCACAGAGCTGCTTTGACAGACACAATCTTTTTGGTGCTCCGTCTGGTCAAAGTTGAAAAGTTGATTTCCATTTAAAGAGACAGACTTGATCATTGCCTCTGATTTCAGTAGAATGATGGTTTGATACTGGTCAGTGACTTTCTGTGTGGCTAGACAAGAGGTGAATGTTAGTGTTCCATTGTGAGATGCCCCCATGGCCCTCAACTGTATGGTAGTCTCTGCACGTCTGGGAGCCTGGCAGAAGACTAGTTCGGGTTTGAGTTTTGTTTAAAATGAAGAGTACACCTTATTCTCAGTGTTTGAAACAAATGAGTAAAATGTAACTCTAGTAAAGTCCAAAGTAGACATAGTTGGGCAGAAATATTATGAATGAAAAAGTATTTTAAACGTAAAATGTTCTGCTTTGTGAATATGTAAGTATAGTATAAAGATTTCTTTCATCCCATTTATCCCCTTCCTTTAAAATAAACCATAGTTTACAATTGGTAGATCTGTCTATATATAAATATATATTAAAGAGCAAATATATATATTTAAAAAAAATCACCTAAATCTGCTTTATTAGACAGTAGTTCACTTATTGCATAGAAACTGGACTTGGCTTTACATCCTTAATGTACTTTATTTTACTCGAGATAAGACCTTATCTTGAAACAGAACTTCTTTTATTACTTAAATCATTTATGTATATCTGGTAAATTATGACCAAATTTTTGTTAGATTGCATACAGTAAGTTGAAATACACATTTGGTACACTACGGGATTGTTGTGCTTCTGTTTTGATTTTAGTTGGAAACAGGTTTGATGTAGATGACTTATTACTGTTAATTTAAAATATTCTATAATTGTCCATTGCCTTTTATGTCGTGTTGTGACAGATTTGGCTATATTTTTAGTCATCTGAAATATACTTTAAAAAGTTTGTTTTTAGGTAATCCAAAGGAAAAAAAATGTTTATACTCTTGAATATATATTTGCCTCAGCCTATATAAGTTTCTTTGAAGTAAACACTTTATCAGAACAGAATTGACAGATTTTTCTACTTGCTGACTGCCTAAGTTATTTTGTTTCATGGTCTTGAGGGATCGCCTTTTTCCCTTCAAGATCTTTTTTAAAAAATAGTTTTAGTACTAAGGTATACTACTGGACGTTTCTATTTTTTTAAGTATTCCTTTTCTGACAATACAACTTCAGGAAGTTGAAAAATTGTTTGAGAACTTTTGATTGGTCTCAGAAAGGTAATGAATTGGATACTCATGATTTTGTCTGGAGGTCTGACAGAGTTATGTTGTACATTTGGTGAAATTTTTCTTGTAATTTATATTTTAAATAAAATATTTTTAGAGTTTTTAATTTTAATGAAGGGGAAGAGCATACACTTTCATATTCCACAGTGGCAATACCATGTCATAAATTCAGATCATGTGTTATTTCTCTCAGACACACTTCCCATATGGTCCCTCATTTGTCATGGTTATTATTTCCTAGACAAGCTGCTAAATTCTAGTGCCCTAGTCATCAGGATCTTGAGGGTATGCAGTATTGGAAGGGGAAACAGGACAGAAACCAGTAGTTTTTACTTTGGAGGCAAAAAACACTATCTGGCTTAGGTTGAGTCATCCCAATGAAGAGCGAATTAATTACTACCGTTCACAGAGTACTCAGGCACACTAAGTAGTTTAATAGTAGATGTGAGCCAAGAACAAAGTTAATGAAAGCTAGTAGAATGGGAGAAGTGAGGAAGTTAAAGAATTAGGACTTTCAAAGGGCCCAAGGATGGCTCGAGTGTAAATGTGGAAAGGCAGCGACAAGCCCTGAGACCTTACCCTTCTCTGAGCAGATAGCATAAGAGGGTTAGAATCATTTCTCAGACTGATGACTCAAGCTCCCGCGCCTTTTTGGTATGCCTATACTTTTGTGTTGTCTGCCTTATTGTTTTCTAGACTCTAAAGTAGGTGCTATTCTATTTTACAGATAAAGGCTCAGAGAAATCAAACATTTGCCTGACTACTACAGCTCACCAGATCTGGATTTGATCAGGTCTGCTTTGGAAGCCCCGGCTCTTTTAGGAGGCTCTATTCGCCCCATAAAACAGCTTTTTTGTAAATTTATATTCTCCCTATAAAATGGCTGCGTTAGGGATTTTGTATCCTATCTGCCCCCAGTAAGCATTCTACCACACGTTCCTTCTGGTAGCTCTCGTCACTTTGACTTAAGCACCTCACTGTAGTCGGTGTCATTAGTGAGCTGTGACCTTTTCACTTTATAAAAGGATGGTTTTTTTAATCTGGAGAAGTAGATGTAAGCCTCAGTTTTTGTGCCGTTCAGTCACCCAGATCCTTAAGCTTAACTATGGTACCTAATCTACACAGTTTGAACTAACAGATGATTATTTATTTTGTCCCTCCCCTGCTGTATCCCAGGCTTCAAGTGAACTTGAACAAGGTCGTTTAAAACATGTTAGGGATAAGCACACTTTCAAAGATGTTTTCTAGCCCTGAATTTTAGGATATTGGGGCACTAAATTTGGAATACACTATTAAGAATGAAATTTGGGGTTTGTGAAAGGGGTGGTTGAGGCCATTATGATGTGGGAGAATCAGCATCTTAAACACTGTAAACAGAACACTTTCTTCTGCCTGCTGTTTGTGAAAGCTCTGGGAAGATCTTTTACAAAGACCAACTTTTTTTTTTTTTAAATGTAATTTACCTACCTAATATAAGTGTCCTGAGACATGTATGTAAACTTCCAAAATCTGTCTGTCTGTGTATTTAGGAAATACACAGAATCTTTATCAACTTAAAATATAAACTTGTGAGCACTAAACTGCTTCTGGCTTTGTGAATTTTATTGGTATTTAATTCTGATTTATTTGCAGGTGTGCTAATTTAGAGTAACTGGGTAAGGGGAACACCTTTGTAAACTTGGGGCATTCAGATATCTGTGTACTTGGACTTTACAGGTTCGAATTGTACAATCTGATGAGGTTTTTCTGTTTCTTATATGAAGGTGCGTAAATAAGACTACCTCCTGCCCTCCCTGCAGGGCTGCTCTCACTGGTCACGCTGGCCTTTGTGAGGACCCAGAGGACCTAGAGCGTGGAGAGTTCCCTGTGGTCCACATTGTGAATGCTCTTGGAGATGGGTGAAGTCAGAGCTGAAGCACTACCACATAAATACTGTATATTAGACAAATTGATTGCGAGTAAATATATAAGATTACAAGTTTCAAGTCTTTGAAATTTTTTTATATAGAGAATGCATACACAATTTAAGTTGACTCCTTCCCTCTTACTGGTTGGACCTCGCTGTAGTTTAGGCTAACCCCAGCCTCTGAATGCCAGGCTTGCTGCTGTCATCCACTGCACCTAACTCCCTTGAGTGAGTAGTAGAAGAGGACTCGGAGTACCCTTCACTCCACTTTACTAGAGAAGGGAGACTTTAAGTTGCCTCCTCTGAAGGAGAGGGAGTCATGTAGCAGATGTCACAGAGAGCTGTCAGGTACAGAATTAAGGTGTGTTCCATGTGGTACCAAGAACAAATTACCAACAATTTTGAGTTTTCCAAAGATAAAATGGGGCTGTTTGGGGGTTGGGACTCCACCACTGAATGTTCTAGATGTATAAAAAGATTATACAGTTGACAGTCATCTTGGCTAAAGCAGTATTTGCAAACATTCCTGTCTTGTTACTTTTTAGAGGTTTGGGACATTGTAGTTGCCGACAGTTCATCTCCTTGCTTAGTACATGAAGTAGAATTGATGGAAAACAACTATATGTATGCAGATACTTAAAGAAGCTTGTTTTGACACTAACATAATTTGTAAGTCCTGTTTAGCCTTACGAAAAAAAATTCTGTGTAAGCTTTTCGCTATAAATCATGGTAGCCCACCATTTGAGAACTGGCAAAGAAAATTATAATTGGTTTTAGAACTGAGCTTAGCATGGTGGCTCCAGACTTTATTTCCAGTATCCTGAAGGTAGACACAGAAAGATCTGTGAGGTTGAGGCCAGCCTGATCTAAACACCAGACTTCAGGGCAGCCAAAACAGAAGAACTCTTCAGTTTTTGAGCTTAGTCTTGGGCATAACTATCATTCTAAAGTTAGTATATGCTGGAGGTACTAAAATCAACAGGAAGGTATCGAAAGCAAGAAACTAGGCTCCAAGCTGGTTGTGGTAGAGCACACCTCTAACCATCTCTCAGGTGATGGAGGCATGCTGATACACGGCAAAGCCTGTCTCGTCACGCTGCTCCTAACAGCATGATGACTTACTATATATATCTTTCCTGCCAACAGGTGTAATCCAGTTTCTTCACAATATGGTCAGTCTTAAATGAGCAATTCAGCTGACTTTTCAGTTGTAGTTTAGACATCTGTTAGGTCTCAGTGAGGGACAGGACTGATATTCTGACACACCACAACAGTTACTAAGAACAATATGAAACAGTTTGAAGACAACGGGAACGGGTTCAGAGAGTATTCCAGTGACATTGTAGAGTTTGAAACCTCATTTCAGTGTCTGTGTCAAACAGTTCCATTGGGTGTGTTGCCAGTTGTGAAATACAACGACAGTTTGAGCCTTCAGGCCCCTTTTCTAACAAGCAGACAACCATACTTCAATATGAAGGGACCAAACCTAACCTACAGCAGACAACATTCGTGATATACTATCTTCAACACTTAGAATGCTTAAAAAGATGAGTCATTTGCTGCAAGCCCATTTGACCAGATACTCTAGTTGCCAGCGTTTTGTATTTGTGAACAGGAATATTGGAGCTTGTCGCTCTTAGTTAATCATATGAGAGACATAACAAGTGAAAGTTAAGATGGAGCTTAGTATCCCTCTCTATGCCAGTGTTTTTGATAATATTATATGAGCATGAGTGCTGTGGTCCATATGAAAGTCGGAGACAACTTAGTGGAGTCAGATCTCCTGCAGTCAACTCCCAGCACTTAAAAACTTCGTGAGACCAGGTCTTGCTATGCAGCTGTAGCTAGTCTGCAAGTTCAAGCTAGTTTGGGATTCATCGTGATCCTCCATAGTGCTAGAATTATAGGTGTGCCCACCACACTCACTTTGTGCTTGTGTCGTCCCCCCCCTTTTTTTTTTTTTACTGTTTTTGTGTGTAGCATCTCTTAATACCGTATTTAATCAATTCCAGTTGTCAGTGTGTATCCGGATATCGCCATTACGAGATGGCGCTGGTGGTCCTGCAGCTTGAAGGTAAACAAATCCTTTTGATGTTGCCGCGTGGGGCTGAGCACCCTTTGCCTGCATTTGCACAACTGAGCCTTGTCCCTAGCCAATCCCGAGGCCCCGAGCACCAGCAGAATGGTATTCACCAATCAGGACAGTATCCGAGTCCCTCCACCCTAGAAAAGCAGCTGCCGCTTGGCTTCTGCCCCTCTCCCTTCCCACTCTCCCTTCAACCAAGAGGCTCCAATAAAGTGTGATTTGGGAAGGATCCTCGACTTCGTGGTTGTTCTTCCTTGCTGGTCAAGGAGCATGCCACAGAAGGAATCTTGTGAAACCCCCCCAGATTTAATAATTGGTTTAATGCAGTATAATCCTAATACAAATTTGATTAATAAATTCCTTCTAGATTATATATTACAAATGATGAGAAGTTTTTTTTTCCTTTAGTTGCATTTAAGGTCATAATTCTAGAAGAAATGAGACCTGTCTCAAAGGTCAGGGTAAGTGTGAGGAAGGTCCTCCTGGCTCCCACCACCAGCGTACTGGTTCATACTTGTAATTCTAGCACTCAAGAGGCCGAGGCAGGATTGCCACCAGTTCTGGGACAGCCTGAGCTAACAGAGAATTCCAGGCCAGATGTGCAATGGTGAGATCCTGTGCTAGAGATTGATTCAATAGAATGTGACAACCATGTGAATTAGAAAGGTCCCTGTTTTCCTAAGTAAAATTCTCACCAAGCTCTGAATGAGCTTCTGAACTTGAAATATTTGTGATTTCTCTCTTGGGAACCAGGCTGTCAAGACAGGGAAACACACTGGACATCAGGATACAGAACCACTGGGTTCCTACTGAGGCCTCACTGCTCAATCGATGCTGAGATAGTCACTCTCCACTGCAGACTTTTGACTCCCGAAAGGACAATGGTGTTAGTTAAGAAGGCTTGGCATTCTTCAATGTACCAAAGGGAGAAAACATACTGATCTGGAGAAAACAGGCTCTCTGCCTAGGCTGCAAGTATCTATCTGCTCACGGCTATGGCTGGGTCTAGGCTGCTTGCTGGCTGGAGTGATCTCATGGCCTGAGATTCATTACCTGTCTCTTTAAAACAAGTTTGTTAGTACCTACACAGATCAGAATCCTGATTTAAAAGCAAAATGTGTACGTGTGGCGCGCTCCTTGACCAGCAAGGAAGAACAGCCACGAAGTCGAGGATCCTTCCCAAATCACACTTTATTGGAGCCTCTTGGTTGAAGGGAGAGTGGGAAGGGAGAGGGGCGAAAACCAAGCGGCAGCTGCTCTTCTAGGGTGGAGGGACTTGGATACTGTCCTGATTGGTGAATACCATTCTGCTGGTGCTCGGGGCCTCGGGATTGGCTAGGGACAAGGCTCAGTTGTGCAAATGCAGGCAAAGGGTGCTCAGCCCCACGCGGCAACAACAAAAGAATTTGTTTACCTCCAAGCTGCAGGACCGCCAGCGCCATTTCGTAATGGCGATATCCAGACTGCTCCTTACATCCTTCCACACTTCCTCCCTGATTTTTGTTTTCAACACAGGGTTTCTCTGTGGCTTTGGAGCCTGTCCTGGAACTGGCTCTTGTAGACCAGGTTGGCCTTGAACTCACAGAGATTTGCCTGCCTTTGCCTAAGTGCTAGGATTAAAGGCCATGGCCACCCAGCAAAATTCTTGTCACTTTGGCTGTCCCAGAACTCACTCTGTAAACCAGGCTGTTCTTGAACTCACAAGATCTGCCTGCCTCTGCCTCCCAGGTGCTGGGATTAAAGGCCTGTGCTACCATCACCCAACTTCTAGTTTTTCATAATAACCATCCAAATCTCAGGCTCAAAGTGAAGCCTAGATTATTATTGAACAAGGCCAGTCAAGCATGGGTTTCTCACACCGAATAGGATTATTTCCTAGGTGCCATGAGCTGCTAAGGCCCCAAGTGTGCCTCAAATCCATGGTACCTTCTTCCTCCTTTTTGAGTCTAGTTACACATGAGAAAACGTCACCTCTAACAATAAAGTGTCATCTAAGTTTTTCTAAGCTCTGGAGAGAGGTTAGGGATTAATCAGAGATTAACCACTGTGGAACTGAAAATAAATACCACAGAAAGGAATAGCAGGGATTTTTTGTTCTGCTTTGTATTGGGTCTCACTATGTAGCTCAGGGTGGCCTCAAACTCCTCAACCTAGATCCTCTGCCTCGGCCTACAGAGTAGCTGGGATCACAGGTATACAGCACCTAACCACGCAGGCACTGCCAATTCTGTGGGGTCAAGTGAAGGAGTGTGAAGGGATGTAGGCATTGGAAATGTTCAGTGTGCAGAATGGGTGAGCTGGCGATGAGCTTGGGGAGAGCTTTTCAAGGGTTTCTGGGGCCTGTATTATGTGAGTGTGTGCATTCAGTGCCCGCAGAGACCAACAGAGGGCGCTGGTGCCCTGGAACTGGAGTTAACAGACCGTTGTGAGCTGCCGCATAGGTGCTGGAAAGCAATCCTGGTCCTTTGAAAGAATGGCCAGTGCTCTTACCTGCTGAACCATCTCTCCAGCGCCAGTGTCTGGCATTTTAGGTATCCTAACAAGATCAGCAGTTTTATTTTTAACCACAAGCCCTCAAGGGAAGCAAAGCTTAACTGTGTATAAAGAAACGTTTTAAGCAACTGAACTAAAGACTAACTTTCCATGCAACTGAGCCTTACCATAGTAATTTTAAGATACTTCCCCCTGGGGTTAACGATTAGGAGGTAGCATATGTTTAGGGCCTTTCTATTTCAGAGATGAAGGTTAGCAAAAATCTCTAAGAAGGAACAGTTTCACAAATGTGGCTTTCATTCCCTGGGCGAGAATATGTGAAATCTGTTGAGGTACACTATGGAAAGGAAATTGAAAGTCAAAGTTTCTGACTTGCAAATGTGATCAGGAAGGTTTCAGAATTAAGCCACAGTTAGATATGAATTGGCTTTACAATTGAGCAGGTAAATTTGGTGACTAGTTGAAGCCTAATTCTTTCACTCTCCAGACTATTTGGTATG